TCCCTACACATACTCGTCAATGGTGATTGCCAGTATCTCCAACACAAAGCTGAGGGTTAGGGGGAGAGGAGAAGAAAAGGACAATAAAAAGTCTAAAAGCAGAGAACTGTATCCCAGTTTGGCATACACCCAACATTTCTCAGCTAGGTTATTATGTCTAAAAGCAGTGTGAAGCACAAGCAAATGCATTCAGCACTCATATCAAGCCATTGCTTTAAATCCATTTTCTTAAAGCAGACTGAACAAGGAGAGACTTAAAGGCTGTTTCCCCTTCTAAGAGCCTTAAGGGAAAGCAGGAGTACAGCATCTTAGTCATTCAGTAACTCCAAATTCACACATGAGGATCATTTTCCCATGCCATAATCAAAACAGCAAAGCACCTACCTTATTCCCCGGGATTACAAGAAAACTACCGGCATTGCCATATGGCCATACCACAGCTCAGCTCTTTAACTGCTTCAGCTGCAAATGCTATGGCAGTGTTCTTCATTTTCCTTCTAACTACAATTATGTTAGCACAGAGGCAGTCCAACTTGGGGGAGGAAGCCAAGTAGAAAATCTCTGTTTTTATAGCTGACATATTCATGTTCTACAAATATGAGACATTTAGTTCCTCTTGGGAACTCTATGACAATATGGATTATTCCTAAGCAGCCCTAATGCTCTTGGGCAGCAGTCTTCTGCACTTCTGCGTGAGTTTACTCACAGAAATGCTGTCCAGGGAACTCCTTCTCTAATAATTTTTCTTAAGAGAGAGAGTTATCTGACCGCAAGCTCTGAAACAAAGATGCTGGACTGACTTACTGAAAATTGTTAGAAAAATGTATCAGTGATGTAAATAAGATTACTTTTGTTATTCTGGTCCTTTCTTTCTTGTTTGTGACTTTTTTTATGTCAGTAATTACTACTATGCTTTGAAGATACTACCTGTTAGGTTTAAATTATACCTAAGAAATACATAAGAATACATCGAAACTACCGGTACAAGCCCTCATAACGTCAAGGGGTACTTGTGTTCCCCACTTACTCAAGCTCTTTCAGCCCCACACAGCAGAAGATCAGCTGTACAGAAATGCAATTTTTCTTTTTTAAAATGTATTTCAAACCGTATGTACACTTGGGCAAGATGCATTTATTTACAGCAGGTTTGTAGCCTCCAGTTTTAACAGCCTAAAGATGTCACATGCCTGCGTCATGAAAACATGTGCCTAAGAATTAGGAGAAAGAACCTACTCCTGACACCCTCAGC